ATGTATACGCCAAATTCGGTCTTGATTTACACCAAGTTGGTTCCCGGAGGGCGAAGCCCTCCCGCCGCAGATTTGCGCCTCGGTGCTCAGAGAAGCTGTAAATCTGATATTGATTCATTGCAGTTCTATAGGACAGGAGAATGGAATTACCCCTGTCCCAAATTCCCGAAATGTTGCATTCTGAACATGGTGGACGCTGAAACAAAATATTATGGGAGGTCATAACGTTGACGTCCTCCTTCTGGTCGCGGTCGCTAGAAGTGCACTTCGAAAGAGTTGATCGGATGCAAAGAACCAGTCGCATCCCTTGCTTTCTTCCTTCCAGCAAGACTCTATCTCTCATGCCATGCCACTGCAAGCAGCAGGACGCCGCTGCATATCTTCCCTTTTATCAACAGCATCTGCAATTCCACTGACATCATGTGTCGTCGCCCCTCATTGGAACTGGCGGGCGCCAAGACAGTACCACACAAAGGGGTCATCGGCGAAATTCCGACAATGGTCAACATGAGTTTCAGCCACTAATCTCCTCTGTTTCAAGCTGCCCTTCCCCCACAGAAACGATGAATTTGGGATTTGGCTGCCCTTGACGCAAGTCAAGATTTACAGCGATACAGCTTGGCACAATTCATGCCTTTGAAGTCACGACTCTGAAGTCGATCTACTTGGGCTTCCAGTTTGGAGCACAAGGAGATTGCGGACGCTCTGTATGAGAGCTCGCGTTCATCATCGACTCGCCCGTGCCAGCGCCCTGCCTTTCCACACTTTTCTCTACACCCTAGCAGCAACACATGGGCGGCCCTGGTCGCGTCCATGGTGCATTCTGTTGGGCCATGAATTGCGGCAGAAGCACGGACGGCGACATACACATTATTGTCGTCACACCGAATGCAGGTAAAATTCTTCTTCCACGCCGGAGCAAAGTTGCTCTTGAGAGAGCCTACGCAGGGTATGCTCAGGCCAACCTTGTCGCGGAGCTGCTCGAAAGGGGCGGTCATGAGGCCCCTCATGTACAGCGCGTGCTTGACGACCTCCCGGACCACATGCGCCAGCGCCCCCGGACTCGGTCGGCATCCCATGCAGGCCTGAATCCTGGAGGGCTCCGCGGCAGAGCGCGCAGCTGCCCGCTTGGCGATCCGTCGACAAGGCCCGGACGCGCGAGCGGCGGGCCGCGCGTCGCCGTTCGTTGATTCGGTTTGGCTGGACGCCATTCGCGGACCCACACGATGGGAGGGGGAAGCGTCACTTGGGGAGTGGACTTGGACAAGCGGAGGGTGCGGGGTGGGTTGCGGTCGGGGCCCAGGGGGTTGCAGGCGAAAGGAGCAGGAGCGCGGCAAGCGCGGACACAGGATGGAGTTTTGGAGGGGCGGTCCATTGTTCAAGCCGTCGAGCAATCAGCGAGTCGATCATGCTGGCAACGGATGATTTTGTCGTGATGTACCGGCCAGCTGGTTGATCAATCATTTGGCCAATTCACGGAGCAGTGGCGGAGTCGATATTGTCGACTCAGCCAGCACTTTGCAATCTGCTTATTAAGTACTGTGTTCAAGTACTTGCTCTGGAATGGGGTGGCGCCAACTCCCTTTCGGGTTCACGGAAGAGGCAGAAATGAAGGGTCTCATCATGGCCACAATTCCATCCACACTGCGTGTTTGATCCAGTTTTGTTCATTTCCGTTCGCCTATGGCCAGTGGCGTGCCACAGCTTCAGAGTAAGAAAATTGGCCGACATTCTCAAACGCGGAGTGCGGATGGAGTTGCGAGTGTTATGGAATTCCATGCGCAAGGGCAATCTTTTTCCATTCTTTTCGATTGCAGTGAAAAGGCCGTGGCGAAATTCCACGGTGAACCTCGAAGATCGCAAATATAGGAAGGTCATCCCTCCCAATTCTGTGGAGGGAAATGCATTGCCGACGTTTGTTCTTGCAACTTAGGTTGATCCTTGGCCAGTGGCCAGAACGGTCTGGTCGTTGAAGTCCTGTCGGGAAAGTATCACCATGAACTCAACAGAGCAGTGGCAAGCCCAGCAATGGTGTCCGGTGATTCAAACGTACGAACCACAACCAACCAACCAAATTTGCAAAGAACTTATCAGCATCGCATCCCCAAATGCTCGACGCGGATTGAGCGCAAAATGGTCTGTGCTGCTCAGCGAGGTAGGGCGGCCCCAATAGAAACCACTATGCTGGTTTTAACACATAAATGTATCTTACCAGGCCTTTTTCAAATATCGCAAAATGTCGCCAATATCAAGTACGCGCCCATTATCCGACACATGTCAATGGAGCGATGCTGTGTCGAGTCAAATACATGGACCTAATGATCGCCATTTGCAATTTTCTTCCATTTTGATTGGCAAGCGCAATCATGAACTGGTTATGATTTATACTTATGATGTATAGCGAGCTTACAACAGGCTTGTTTTTTGCGCCGTAAAAACTGATCGTATTTACGTTTTTACGCATAGAAAGGCGTAAAACTACGTAAATACAACGTAAAGAATGCCTGGTGTACCTAAGTACAGTATATACAGATTTACAGAGTCCGGAGAGTGGCAGCCAGACGCTTTGGAATAGGCAGAAGATGAGTTTTGTTAAAAGCCATTATCGCCCTTGCCAAGGGCGAGGTGGACATTGTGTTGTGGTTGCTGGAGATGGTGGAGGACTGACCATTGTACGCAACTTTGTCGTTTAACCTACGTGTGCAAGGGAGCTGTGAAAACGTAAAAATAGCTGTAAAAATAGGCCCTCTTGCAAATTTGCGTTTTTACGCGTAAAAATGTAAAAGCAAAAATGTCAACGTAAACGTGAAAACCAAGCCTGGCTTACAACATTGACTTCTATGAGTATTTTATTGTGTGTGTTTATAATCTATGTCCGATTATACCGCCGGGTTCATTCCCATTAACAACAAGACTCGGTACGACCCTCCATACACACAGGTTGTCATCATAGACTAACTGTAGCTCCATCCCACTTCAAATCCATTAGGTCCACCAAGCAATTATCCAAAAACCAGGTCCTACATTCTATCAGGATTCTTCATTCAACTCATCAATCCCATGCACAACGAATCCAGACATTTATGGCGAGTGTTGCACTGCATTGAACTGCACCATAGGGCCGAGACGTGCTCAAAGAGTTACTTTATTTCGCCGATCTCCTTTTTTCGAATATCTTCATGTGTGTTTTTTTATTCCTTACTTTGATCGACAGTGACTGTGGCCTCAATGGCATCCACCACGTCTTCCCCAATTCCTTCCCCCACCGTCCGATTCGGGCTCGTCCAGATTTCACCATACAAGCGGACCCGTTTTGCAAGGACCCGTCCTTGCAGTGTGCAAGAGCTTGGCCCTCATCAGCGTCCTCAGGTCCATTGCCTGGGCTTCTCGATCTGATTCCTTTGCCCACATCCCACATCCACGCATCAGTGACAGCAAAGCGCAGGATGCCTTGCGACCTGTATGCAGACATTAATGGCTATATTGCTGTCCCTGCTGCCCGGCGTCGTGGACTAGCCCATCGCACAAGTTGGGATCACTTTCATGGCGCCGCCGCCATTCGCACATCACGAATGCCTTGGCCCAGTATTGCACATTATATATAATGCATATATATGTGCATGGGCGAGATCCTCACCCCGTCGGAGCGGGGCTAGTCTTGACAGTCATGTCATGCCAAAATGTTTCTTGCACCTTTGGTTTTGGCTGCTTGGGAAATTCTGCTGCCTTCTTCGCACCGTGCACCGCCATGCTCTCATTACCAAAGCTCGTCACATCGTTAATCTGCCCCTCCTGAATGTGGCTAGGGAAGACACTTTGTCGATTTTAGTACGCTTAGCGTCAAATTGACGCTGGGTAGGGGGGGGGGGCAGACTTGTGATGCTAAGAGATTATGTCATTGACACAAAATCGACATAAGGAAGTATGGTGCCCAAAAGCACCAACGACAAGGGGCAAACGACCTCTGACATGTCCTAAGCTTGCTGCAAGTGTTCCATCTTCATATAAGGCCTTAGAATGGATCAATTTGCAGCCATTGTGGCTTCCCGTCTCAATATAATGGCATTTAGAATCCCATTTTTCAGCCCACTGAAATCAGCACAACTTTCATTGTTTTTCACCTTAGCGTCAATTTGCCGTTAAGCTCAACCCCCACCCACCCCACCCCCACCCCCACCCCCTTCAGCAGGCTTAGGAACATGTCAGGGTTTGTTTGCCATTTGTCAGTGGCGCTTTTGGGCACCTTACCTGCCTATGTCGGTTTTGTGTCAATTACATAATCTCTCAGCGTCACAGGTCGGGACCCCCCCCCCCAAAAAAAAAAAGGAAAAAGAAAAATCGCTACCAAGATGCTTTTCATGGTGTACTCGATAGTCAATGTACGTAATCCCGTATGGTACAGCACAACAAATACTTCACACAATGGGGACCCAATCCTCAGCAAGAGCAATGAGACTCTGTACCATGCTGTCGCCAAACGCCCACAGTCTCCAAAAACGGGGAGCAAACACACAACATTGTGCAACATGGCACTTAAACTTACACCACCAAAGCCAAAGTAAATACATTCTGGCATATCATCCTTGCTCACGATGTGGAGAATGTCCAGATAGGCGAACGCATTGCAAAGAACCTAGACGACAACTGCATTCAGCAACGGCTCAATCCACTGCCATCTCCCATCAAGAATGAACACTCAACGCCCATCAGGCCTATGATGGTCCAAGACATTTCTCCACAGTAGGCTACTAAAGAGTTCCACAAGGTAGTCACAGGTGCCACTGATGTCATCATCACTGTTGTTGCACACCGTAGTCCTCACTTTTTGTTCTTGGTGTGATTTTCAAATCATGGCACAACTCTCTTCTCTGGTATTGGCCATTGTTCTCTTCATCGTGCAGTGCAGATCAACTGTATGACGACATCCCTGGCTCTCGTCCATTAACACTTGTAGATGAACTTCCTTTTTCTTGTCCTTGCCTGTTTCATTTCAAGGTCGATCATTCCAAGTTGGTGTGCCTAACAGACATGTCGTCATCACTTAGCCGAAGCTTCTCCTGCAGAAGGATGCAAGCACAGTCCAAGGCTACCCACAAGCCAATCTCATAAGACGACCCCATGGGCAGGATGCTAGGCACAGGCGCCGAAGAGGGCGATTGGTCGTCGTCATGAGAATCTGCCATCGTCTGGGCAGGAACTTGGAGAGTGAGGTCGGCAAAAGGAATGTCCAGCCCCTGGACACAGGTGCAGCAACAATAAGTGTGACTCACTCCAGCAGCCAGAAACAACGCGGCAATGGAAAACAACGCAAGCAGCATGCAGACAGCACACCAAATGTGTGGACAGAGGGTAATAACATGGCAGTCATAAGCAAAAGAACATTTGATGTGTTTTGATGTATATTTGATTGTATTTGAGAGCAGAGGCCTTTGCACTGTGTGGGCCTCAGATGACAGACACAAGAAAGAGATAGACGAGACGGCAAGGGCAGCGCGATTTCTTTACAAAAGTCATCGATTTGCACACAAGGTTGAGATGGATCCACAAACGTCCTGTGACACTGATATCAGGATCAACTCTGGTTGAGAGATCCACTGCTGCAACATGTTGTGAAGACAAACACACTGCACATCCACGGTACAATTAAACACACAACAGACACAGATGCACACAGATGCACACAGATGCCCTGGAGAGCTTCTTCGTTGACATTTCACATGAGACACTTGGAAGTGGATGTCAAACTGCTCATCCAACATCCGGCAGGGGACTACCAACCTCCTTGCATATTTCTCTTGTACCAGTGCAACACGCAGCATTGTACCAGTGCAGTTCCCTTTCTTCAAAACCACGCGCTGATTCTGACATTCTGACTGATACTGGCACAATGACGTGTGCAAAGACGTGTAGGCGACATTGCACAGTACTTAATCCAGAAAGCGATGCAGGCAGGCGGCTGTTGTTGTACCTTTGCACCACATTCTTCGAGGCATTGAAATTGCGGGTTCAACGATGATCGGGCCACACCACTGCTCACAGCACCTGTCTGGAAGTGAAGCATGCAACCCTGGCATCTGCCATCCTTGCAACCTTGGCCAGTGCTTCAACCGTGCCGAAATGCCCTGGACCGGCACTGACCAGCAAGAGATCGCCACTACCGATTCGTGGTGCCGTCATGTCGCCAGCCACACCCACCTGTGCGACAAGAATAGGAGCTTTTGGCCTGCAGCAAACAGTGTGCTCTAGCAAACTACAAGAACAGAAACGCAGCACTCGACAGAAAATCGAAAGCAGCAGTGCATACTTCTTTTCTGTGATTTCTGTGTTCATTCTGGACAATTTTTTATCATGTGATACAGCACCCAGTAACTTTTTTCTTCTTATTCTACTCAGTTTCGAGTTTCCACAGTGCTTTGAAGCACCGAGTTTGCATGAGTTTGATTGGTTTCCTTCAAGCAGTGATGTACTTGATGAAATATATGCAACATACTACACACTTGATGCACTGCAACTGTGGGCTTGCCCAGCCTACAGTCCGTGCCAGGCCAAATTCTGTGAGTGCATCACCAAATTTGTTCACGCAACCATAACTGTCGACTGGTCATTACCATGACCTCCAGCATCATACACAGCGTAGCAGCCAAGCTGTGAAGAAATCTCGAAAGCCACATACCCTGAGGCCCATGTGATACAGCCTCATGGCAAAACTCTTCATCACCAGTCCCTCGCGCCCCACGCCATAGCATGCAATACTCTCTGCTGAGATCAGAGCTTCACAAAGACTCTCCACCTCTTCCTCTTGGACTCCTGACAGGATTCCTGACAGTTCACTGACCTGGGGAAAGGCAGAGGCACAGTGATGCAGTCGGGCACACAGAAGGACCAGCAACAGCAAAAAGCAGTGGACAACAACCGGCAGCCAAGGCAGGAACAAGCATGGGGCACTGACTCCTGGAGCTCGATGCAACACTTCTATTGCTTTCTGTTTCTGTTGCACTTCTGGACATCCGTATTGTCTTTCATGGTGCGGACAAGGGCCCACTGCACAACTCTCGCCAATAAATGGGGTGCAACGTGCACATGACCTGTTCCCTTTTTGGCAAAACAATGGGCTACGATGCAACACAGCATTTCTGGGGCAGCCAATCTGCCAGCAGTTCTGAATACCACCATATGAGCAAGCACCATACTACTGCAAAACACACAACATTTATGGCAATGTTACTACCACATAGCAATGAGGTTGTCATCTGTTCCGCGAGGGCAAAGATTGTACTTGTGAGGCTGCCCATGCTTCTTGCACACGTATTCCCCTTGGATGTGCAGTTTCACAATTCCAAGCCTATGTCAACACTGGCTGCTCAGGTTCAGAGATGGTACTAGGGCAGTGCTTTGTAGATGTTAGTAATGTTGCCCATGGGCAACTCCACCATGAACAGCAACGCTTTATAAACTTGCGGTGTTGCGGATTATCTTGCATGAACGGTATCTGTTCCATCATCTATGCCACCATTTGTTCCACTGTCTGCATGCAGGTCATGCCAAAGGTGACAAGAGCATTGCTCTGGGCCCAAGATAGGCAGGAGCCACTCCGCAGGGACGACGCAGTGGTCACTGCCTCACAATATGAAGACACGACACTATCCGCAGTGGCACACCGTTCAGTACGACAACAAACACCATCAGCTCGTTTCGGCCATCCAAGCATGGAGACAGGATCTTTTGCCAAGCGTTGCACGAATGCTAATGCTCTCATTCAAACCGGCTTGGGCAAAGCAGAGTCGCAACCACATCTCTTGCATCTCGCAACCCCATTGCGAACTCGAAAAGGGCTGATGGAGGCAAAAAGTTGCTCACTCTGGGCAGATCAGTGCGTTTTCGAATGGCAAGCATTTACAAATGGGATCAAAGGCCCGACAAGGTGGGGACAGGCTTTCCACACAGCTTGCCGAGGTGCACAAGCGCGTCCAGAGCAGGGCGCAAATTTTGCACTCAAGGCCTCGAATTCGTAGACAGCAACTTCCCAACTGGCGGCGCCCGCATCCGCTCCTGAAGTGCCCGGCAGGTTCAACAAGCGGGTGGAAATGTTGCAGCCACATCATGCGGCCCTATTCAGCCTTGCACAATTTGATTCGGACACTCACAACGCCCGCCGCGGTGTCTTGGAACGCTCCCTTGCAGGCGGTCTCGAAGCGTTGACGACCTTCTTCCCGTCTGGGCTTCGGCAGAAGCCATGCGTCCACGCGCCGAGGCGACCCTCCGCCCCTGCAGACAGGGTCGTGCGGCCGGGCGGAGGGGGCGCGTGCGCTGAGCTGGTGAGCGTGTTGGAGAATTTGACAGTGGGGCCACGCGCAAGCCATTCGCAAGCCAGAGTTGGCCGGCGCCGTTCCAACAGGCCCGCGTTTTGGAGTGTTGGGGAGGGGGCATGCGGAGGGGGCATAAAATTACTGGCTGCACCAAATCGATGACTATCTGCACTAAAATCGGTGACTGCTTGCACCAACTCCCTCCAAAACTTACCTAACCTAAGCCCTAAACCCTGAAACTAAACCTGCCCTAAACCTAAAACTCAACCTAAAACTAAACTTAACCCTAAAACTGAGGTTAGGATATAGTGTGCACGTGATTTGGTGCAAGCAATCACCGATTTGGTGCAAGCAGTAATATTATGTCTGTGGAGGGCGGGCACATTGCCACGGCGGATCAATGCGATACGGACGTCCATCTGCAAGGCGTGCTCCTCATTATGAGACTACAGAGATGGCACCACCTCGCGCCCAAAGGCAGAAAAGCGCAACTCCTCTTACGCAGGTCGCAGGTAGTTGGCGACCTCCAGACCGTCGTGTACCATGGATTGCTGCACGGTAGCAAACCACTTTGGAAGTAAACGTGCCATCACGAAACGGCTAACAACAATACTAGAGCATAGCCATTTCTTTCAGCCCGTTAATTTATGGTGCCTCAATATTGGTTGCCTTTTTACTAACAAACTGTATCCGTTTCTCCTAAATTCTATGCGCAAGGAATATGCAATGCACACACGAAGCATGTCAAGACGTGAGTACATTGAAAACCATTAAACATCCCTTCTGCTAGCTTGTTCCCATCAGGGATGCAGCAATTCATCAATACCCTAGAGAATCAGATACTCGGAAGGCATTGTCCGAACGTGGCAGTCCCAGATGTGACATAAGAGTATGTGGCAGCCGATTCGCCCTTACTTGGCATACCACAGACAGCAGCAGGTTCATTGTTGTTGCTCCATTTGTATGGCACAAGTGGCAAAAACGAGGCAATGAAGGACGCCAACTGAGCTGCTGATGTTCGTTTGAGAAGCGCACAGTGTGATTGTCAGCAGGATTGCTCTGGCCTGTGCCTTGAAGTTTGTTGCCTCATAAGCTACTGGTCTCATTTGGCTGCCGCTCAGGCCATGCCAACGTTGAGCAGCAACGTAGTATGTTTGGCGCGGATTCCTGCAGGCTGGGAAGAGCTGCATGTGGTCGCCAGTGGCACACCAACGCCAGCACCCCGTCTGGAATCAGAGTTCTGGAATCTGGATGAAACCTCTTGAGCCCGCTTTGGGCCACTCCGTACAGAAAAAGCAGAAGAGAGCAACTCAGCCTTGCTCAAATGGCACATTCAGAGCGGCCTCCTCTTGCAGCCAATTTTGCGCCACTTTGTTCTTCTCCAAGTTGTGCCTGTACTCATCGTACTCCTCCCTCGTCCTCCCTGCAACCTCTGCTATGTATGTGTTGTGCGATGGCACAAACAGCTCGTCCATGGGCAGCTCAAATGCAACACTCGCCAACTCGATCTGTAGGAGATACGTGACTCGAGGCAGGATGACGTCTTTGAATGGTAGCTTCATGTACTGTGGGAAAGCCACAAGCTCTGCCACACTCCTCCTTGCCACCTTGCACAAGAATTTCATCTTCACCAGAGTGCCATCCCCTGGTGAAAATGTCATGATGCTGGGGATGCCTGCCACCAACTTGCCGATCTCTCCCCTTCTCCACCCGCATCCCAGCAACTGCCTGCACATCCAGCACCTCTTCACCATGGCATCATTGCGCAAACTGTGCACACACAGAACAGCAGACATCATGACTGCCATGTGCAGCACACTGCTGTCTGCTGTTCTGCTTGGATTTGGCGACTTTTACTGCATGTTGCATGCCTGAGAAAATGGTTGAGTTCGTTCTGGAGGGGAAGTCAACTGAACAGGACACACATGTGGGTGTCCTGGGCACAGTGCACTTCTGAGTGTTCAACCTCTCTATGCTGCAACCAGTGTATAAACGGCCATACAGATGTCAATCGCTTCAAAGCAATGGATGTGTAGTGCTGCAGCAGTGTTGAGTGGCACACTGTTGACACTGGTCATGGGTTCTCCAACAAGCATCGATGGGCCACGAACATCGGTGTCATTCGTCTTCAGACCAGCAGACAGGTGAACACTCAGCCCCCACCCTCTGCAGCGGCTGCCAAATGCAAATTTCTAATATAAAGTGAACATTGTGAACACAGAGTCAAACAATCAATGAACGTAAAAAAAACTCCAGCACTATTCTACAACTGTTTGATATTCTTATTCATTTATATCACACAACATGCTTTTCAAGCTGGCTTGAGAATACGCTTTATGCCATGGCGAAGGGTCGCCAGGGCCACAAAGAATAGCCAAAACTGCTGGCGTCATTGGCAGTAGTTGTGCTGCTGATGTGGAACTGCGAACTTTGGCGCTATTATCCTACCATCAAGGCATGGCAACGAGACAACGACCGCTGGGACTTCTGAAGACTATCTGCAACGAATACAGCGACTATATGTTGTCCTTCGATGTTCTTGGTGGTTCTCCCCCCTCCCCCCTTCTGGCAGCAACAGTCGCAATACTGAGTATGCTATCATACAAGCTTGATGTCCGCACACGAACCTTATTCTGGGGGCAACATCATGATGGATCGAATGTGTGAGGACCTGTGGCCGCCCGCCAAACACTTTGCCAACAGCCTGGCTAGGCATCTTCAGCTCCTTCATTAAATAATTCCGCATGGGCTGCAGCTTCTTTTCCACGCTCCATGCCAGGATCTCTGGCTCTTGTGCGACCATGGTGCCGATCGCCTCCAGCGAAAGGTCCAATCCTCTCAGCAGCTCTATGCAGGGCAAGATGCTGCTCCCAAAAGACTTGCCCGGCAGCGATGGCTCCCGCAACAGAATGTGCGCCACCTTTGCATCAGTAACTTTGAGGTCGTGCAACAAGTACTCCACGAAGGGCTTTAGGCGGCCCTCCAAGTCGCATGCAAAGATGCTTGGCGCCCTGTCAAGCATGTATCCGATCTGTATACGTGATAGCCCCAGACCCTGCAAATACATAACCTTCTGGACAGCTGTCCGTTCTGTCATCCACAGCAGCACTGGCCGCTTGCGTACTATCACTGGAAGCCTGTCCTTGCGCACACCTAGCTGCTGGACCAGATAGTTCAGACAGAAGTTCGTCTTGATGTCCTGGTTGAAGTCTGTCAAAAGAAACTCGGGCCATTTCAGCACCACCCTTTCGATTCCCATTGTGCTCATGCCTAAGCGCCGCAGGAAGCCAATTTTGGGAATGATCACGTCATCCACAGACAGCTGCAGCACTCTTGGGGCCTTCTTGGCAAGCACACGCGCAATGCGACATTCTGAAACTTGCAGCTCATATGACAGCTGCTCCACAACTTCCACCTGACCTTCTGTGATGGAATACCGCTCTATTGTTCTTGCCCACGCGAATTCCTTGCTCCCAATGGGTGTGTTCTCACTTTGGTGCTTCTTGGCACTGGTTTTCTCTGCAGCAGCTGTTGCCATGGCACGGCATGACTGCCAGCTGCACAACATGGCCTGCTGCTCTTTCTGTGCCCCATTCCACACGTTTGCAAGCTGGTGCTGGCAAGATTGACAGGAGCTGATGCCGTAGATGGTGCGCCAAACAGTTGAGAGGAGATTGTGACCAGCCTGCCATTTGTAGGCATCATGAAGAAGCGATAAGGAGCAGGACTGTTGGGCAAGACGAGACACGCTGAGCCCAGACCACATCAGTCCCGGCTGCAATCAGGGAAGGGGACACACCTGCAGACATTCCTAGCTGCATTACTATTGTGGCAAATGGAAGTTCCTGGACACACAAAATGCTTGCAACAGGATGGGAAGCTTTGAGAGCTCCTTGCAATGTTCTGCACAGGAGGCTGAGAAAAGAGGACGAGTTGCTCTCCCCGATGCAAAAGATTGAGAACAGCGTGATGCAAAGAGAGCGATACCGTTCCCTGCTAATCGAATGTATAGGGCTTCTGCAACTGGGGCACATTCTCCGCAGCAGTGGCCCACTGCCTCCACAGGGGGGGTTGCCTAGGCTGGTTAGGTGGACGGTGGGTCCCAAAGCACGTCGGGGGCAAAGCATCGGCGCCTGCGAACAGCGCCCAACATAGTCCTGTTGGTGGTACGGCAGCGATTTGCAATTTTGACAACGTAGTCAACCCGAATTACCCTGAAAGCCCCCTGAACGCACAGGCGTCCTCTGGCTCTATCGTGAGCGCATGCCTTGCGATCTAAAGTCGAGGTGCCTGCGTCATACGGCTGCATCGTCGCCCGGTTCAATTATTTGTCACATCAGCGCCGGGGGCAATGGCGCCAATGAGCGATGCAGCACGACCACATGATGCTGCAGAACGGCTCCATGCCCGCTGCGTAACACTTCCAGAGCCTCAGGCACTCAGCTAGCTCGAAGCACAGTGTTGTTTGATAGCTGGGCTGCGCGAGTTCTGCATCAGCCAAAGATCCTCACTTGCGAGTTTGGGGTTCTCTTCTATTCCGGTGGCCATTCGCGCCTTTGCTTGTAGCCTACCAGAAACTCTGTTTCTGTAACGCGCCTGCGCCCAATGGGCCAATATGCTCCACCGCTGCACGCCCCTTCGCCGCTCAGGATCCCTGCCAAAACCTCCCAGGATGACGGCCCGCTTTCTCGGGCCTCTTCGGCTCGCTCTCCCGGCGTCGGCCTGATGGCCTGATAGCTGGTTTTCCGCCTGCGCAACTTTTGGCCTAAACCACCCTTAACGGGCCTCTGTAATACATGACAGGGCGAACTCATGTTGCGCGTTACACGAAAAGAGCAACGCCCAAAACGGTATAGACTTCCGCGTTGGGGAGGGCTGTGGGCGTTGCCTCGCGGGCGCAACTCAGGGGGTCAGTGCACCAGCGTTCAACGGCCGGTGAGTGCCGTGAGTGGTCCGTTGCCCGCATAGGTGGCATCCCCATCGCAAGGCACACAACCAAAGATTGGGTAACCACCTTATTTGCTACGAGTGATTGGGCAAAGTCGGCATCCATCCCCCTTCGCCGCACCCTTCCCGTTGTGCTTTTGAAGGTGAACCTAGCCGGGCGGCGCGACTGCCGCTCTGCCGTGGCTTGAAGGTGTGGGTTTGTAAGAGATTCAGAGACCTCATAGACTTTTGAAAAGCACCTTTGTTGGCGTCGTGGCGGTTGTCTGCTCATTGCCTCGGCGGAGAAGTGCATGGAAGCCGCGGCCTACGCATCTTTAGAGAACGGGGTGGGAGCAGGGCTGTAGCCAGCACGGAAAGGAGTCAAAGAGACGCATGAACTGCAAGTTGTTACATCAGAAAGTTGTTGCAAGTTTTGTTTGTTCTTCCTTCAGTACAGTCTGACACCCTGTGCTCTCCACCCCACGGTACCGCGATCCCGATCGTCCACCTCCGCGCCCCGCCTGCGCCTCCATCATTCGCAACGACCTTATTGAACACGGGGACCGCACCATTCCCTCCCCAACGCCGTGTTCCCTTCCCTGTTTTGCCCCTAGAAGAAAACTGCCCACGAACGCCTGCCGATAGTCACAAGTGCGCGACCTCCTGCGAGGCCCGCCCCTTCTGCCGGATCCACGTCGCCTGCGCCTAAGCGCGCTCTCCGCGGATGCGGCGGGCCAGCTGGATGTCCTTCGGCATGATGGTCACACGCTTGGCGTGGATCGCGCACAGGTTGGTGTCTGCGGCCACACACAAGGCACTCAGGCGGTCACCCAATCTTCTGCAACATCCTCGGCGAACACCCACCGCCAATCACACCGCACAAAAGCAAAAACTGGAAAAGGCATAAACTTGAATTCCATCCCCGGCGGCATGCAAGCGTTGGAGACATGGGCGTCTCAGGTACTGTGGAGAGGCCACGGGTGATGCCGCCGTCGCGCAGAACACCGCACAGCCTCGGGACTCACCCTCGAACAGGCCAACGAGATACGCCTCCGCGGCCTCCTGGAGGGCCAGCACGGCGTTGCTCTGGAACCGAAGGTCCGTCTGTGGCCAGGGCAATCACAGAAGGCAAACGTCAGTTGGCGGCAGCAACAGCACGGAGAGACGGGGACAGGCCAGCGGGGGCGCGTGCGGGGAGATTAGTCCGTAGCGCTGCGCCTTTCAGCGCCTCACCTTGAAATCCTGGGCAATCTCCCTCACGAGGCGCTGGAACGGCAGCTTGCGGATGAGCAGCTCCGTCGACTTCTGGTACTTCCGGATTTCACTGCCGGCACATGGGACGGCGTGAGAACTCCTCTCCACGGTCCAGGAGCACGGTGCGGGCCCCCGGACCACATGGAGCACAGGCCTGCTGGGAGGTGGCTAAGGAATGGTGGCGTTGGAGCAGGCAGCCAACGAGCGAAAAGGGCGCAGCACGACGGTTGGGGACGTCAGGCGCGCCCAGCGTCGCTCTGCGCCAATTGCCAGCCTCCCTGTGCGCCAGAAAACCCGCCCCCTGCTGTTCGCAAATTTTTAAACCACGAAAATCCGCGCACACGACCACTTCTCCCCGGTGCCCTGCGAGACCTCGAGCGACGCATGCAACCCGACAGCCACCAAGGCGAGAATCTGGACAGCCGCCCCCGACCACCCCGCCGCCGGGGTCCGCCCCGCCCCAACCACCCACTCCGTCAGATTCAAAACCCCGCCATGCACGAATTCAAAAATACGCGGCAACGGCAGCCCGTGCAGCACCAATTCGCCAATTCATCACTCCAAGATGCCTGCAAGGACGCCCTCCGGCATGCCACACGCCGGACCCTCCCCCCCAGCGCCGGTAGTGGTCCTCACCGCAGGGCCACTGTGCCGGGCCTGTAGCGATGCGGCTTCTTGACGCCGCCCGTCGCCGGGGCGCTCTTCCGGGCGGCCTTGGTGGCCAGCTGCTTGCGCGGGGCCTTGCCCCCAGTGGACTTGCGGGCCGTCTGCTTCGTACGGGCCATCTCGCTCGGTCTCAGGCGAAGCCTGGCTGGCGCGTCCAACAACTGAACTCGGGAGGCCGCAGGAAAGAAAGGCGAGGAGCGGAAGAACGCGCCGCCTAATGAAGTCCGATGAGCTCGTGCTGTGCAAAAAAGCGGTTGTCGGAGTGGCGGCGCGTTTAAATAGGCGGAACGAGGGAGGGTGTCCTGGCATGAAGTTGGCGGGAAGTCGGCGCCACGTGCTTTCGTGGCGGAAATTCAAAGCGGCGGATTCGAAATGTGGGAAATCGAATCTTGCCGGTAATCTTGGCGGGAATCTTGGGATGCACAATCAGCAACGGTGGCCTCTCAGCCGTTAGATACGTCTGATTGGCGTCGGGTGGAGGCAATGATCCAGATGAGGCTGCCGCCAGCGCGGATGGCACAAACATTCCTGGCCCTTTCTCCTGCGAAAAGACTGCCCATTGCCGTCGGAATGTGTACTGCCAACTTCACAACGCGGTCCATCCAACAACAAGGGTTTCTGGAAAGTACGACGTTTCGATGGCTCGTAGCTCACCAGAGCACCAGAGAACGGATCCTTACTTGCCAATGGACCCAGAAATGCCGAAGCAGGTTTGCAAGCGGCCATGGATCCTTCCTGCTCCACCCAGTTTCCCTGCAGATCCCTATTCACGTCCTGCTGCAGAGCAACATGGACACAGTGGCGATCCTTTCAACAGTAAAGAAAGCAGAGTCCCTCTCTTGCCACCAACGCTCCATGTGCAGCTCGCTGCATCTGCGCCTGTTGAAATTGGCCATCTATTCATGCAACGCTTTGTAGAACAAGCAGGCGGTGATATCTCACAAAGGTCTCTGGGTTATACAAAGCCACTTATGATCATATTCACAGCTGGAAACACCGTTCAGCTGGTGTTCCCTGGCCCAGTTTTTGCGCAGAGCTGTCAGCGACGCCATTGGGTATCTCCACGACATGAAACTGCCCAGCCCCAACTTGGGACATGAACGGCAGGACATCTACGTTGTCGGCTCCCTCGCAAAGAGGGCTTGTGGTGGCCAGAACCTGATTCCTGTGCCTTGCCACAGTGAATTGCTCAAGAAATGGTCTTCCCTTCTGGAACAACCATGTTGCTTACTCCAACTCACTAGCCGACAGGCGAGGCCCAAGACAGAGCCCAACCACATGCATCTGTGCTGTGATGGAGCAGTGCGCTGTGGACAGTACTCAAACATGGACTGTCACAGAATCGACAAGACTCCTTACAATCATAGTTTACTGTCAAATGCTGTTTGCCTGATGCAACAGCACAATCCTCATGCATCTGTGCTGTGATGGATAAGTGCGCTGTGGACAGTACTCACTCATGGACTGTCACAGAATCGACAAGCCTCCTTACAATCATAGTCTACTGTCAAATGCTGTTTGCCTGATGCAACAGCACAATCCCAATTCGAAGTCCTCATAACCACATAGTACCTGCTCCACTTAAGACAGTTCCCACCAGCATGGAAGCGCCCTCACCCAGTGTATTGCCAAAAGGCCAAGACATTCAACAAAAACTCGCTGCTGTGTACGCCTCTCCCAGAGGTGGTTTCCTGGTCTGTAGGACAGGGGTGGCCCAAACTCAAAAGGAGGCACTGGACAGCTCAGGCGCGCTCTCCACGGATACGGCGGGCCAGCTGGATGTCCTTGGGCATGATCGTCACGCGCTTGGCGTGGATAGCGCACAGGTTGGTGTCTGTGGGTCACCGCACACAGTCCGATGGGCAACCAGCAAGGGTACAACAAAAGACACACAGGAAGCAGAGGGGGGGGCGGAGCACTTGAAGATTGTACTTGCAACAACAAGCGAATGCGATCTACTTCACTTAATTGGCACCCCCGACCTGGGCAAGAATGTTTGTGGCACCCTCTTTCACAAAGCGGATTGTTTCAGAAGTTTATCGCCCCAAGTCTCCCCGTGAATAGTCAGGGAGGAAGGCTGCAGCACGAGTTGAAGGCAAGGGATTGGGATGAGCGGGCTACAGTTACCTTCGAACAGGCCGACCAGATACGCCTCGGCAGCCTCCTGCAGGGCCAGGACGGCGTTGCTCTGGAAGCGAAGGTCAGTCTGCAGAACGGAGTAGCGCTGCGTGAGCACGGTTGAACGAGGAAGAAAGCAGTGCGGAGAAAACAGAGAGCACAGAGGCACGGTGTGGGCGGCAGCGCCCGGGGGCACCGCACCTTGAAGTCCTGCGCGATCTCCCTGACCAGGCGCTGGAAGGGCAGCTTCCTGATGAGCAACTCTGTGGACTTCTGGTACTTGCGAATTTCGCTGCGACCGGACGAGGGGACACGGGTCAGTGATGCCGCTGCGCGACGACGCACCCTGAGCGAGAATCAAATTTCTAAACGCGGGGGAGCAGAGCTCGCCGCCGCCACAAAGTTTGGCGCAACTGGGTGAAGGCAGGGCCGAAGCACCACGCCCCGTTAAACCCACTGGCTGGGAATCTTCAAATCGGGGTTGGGCCGCGTAGCGACACAGCATGTTGGCGGCCAGGTCGGTGACGGTTATGGAAGTGGACACACACGATTGCCCGACCAGCGGGCAGGGGAGCGGGACCAGAGCGCATGAAACTCAGCTCGCGCATTCAGGGCAAGCCGCGTCTCACCGCAGGGCCACTGTGCCGGGCCTGTAGCGATGCGGCTTCTTGACGCCTCCCGTCGCCGGCGCGCTCTTCCTGGCGGCCTTGGTGGCCAGCTGCTTGCGCGGGGCCTTGCCCCCCGTGGACTTGCGTGCCGTCTGCTTCGTGCGAGCCATGTTCGGAAGGAACGTGCGGGAGGTGCTGGCTGCCAAAGGGAGATAATGGGCTTGATGGAGCGGGGGCGGGGGAACCTGCGCTTTGTTCGAGGGGTCCGCTTTTTGTAGTGCAAAACCCGCGGCCTTACTGGCGCCGATGCGGCATTTTTTTATTTTTATATTCTTAATTTTTTTTGTCTGTGGGGATTGCCGGTGCGTCGAATCGTCCAGGGTTTGACTCTGGACGAACTGAAGGCTTTGGTAGAACGGATTAACAGGTTTCGCTTTGGCAGATTTGCTGGGTGGCACACGGTTTCTGCTATCCGGCATCTACGCACCTGACGCTCATGAGTTGCTTTTTACTAATGTGATGATATGGTCAGATGCTCTGTATGGTATGATAATATGATGTGACATTATGTACAAGTGTGCGACAGGCGTGAATGTGTGGCCAGACTGCAACAAATCATTGTATATCCGTGGATCACCTGTCATGATTGTAACCTTGCTTTGCCCTGAGGGCACAGAGGCTCTGTGAACGGCTGCGCACTAACAAATCAAAATCCTTTGCTTCCATACAT